GGCATCGCTGCCGGAGCCGAAGCTGGGCGAGGAACGCGAGAAGTTGATCCTCCGTTCTTCTGCCGGTTTGCGGAAAAAGTTGCCATTCGATCACAGCTTTTAACCCGCCCGATTGCGCGGCAGCTGCGCAACGATTTTTCGTTTCTGGTCGTTGGATACCCCACAAGCCGAACAGCCAGAGTTATTTCACCAGGAGTGTGACAATGAGAAGGGAACGAGACTGGCGGCGTGCGGGCGCTGCCGTGTGCACCGCGGCCCTTGTCGTTCTGACAACCCATTCGGCGGTCCAGGCTCGCGAAAGCGACCAACAGGCCGCGTTGGCGGCGTCCTCTCCCACCCCTCTGTGCGTAGACAAGGATGACACGCCGCCGGCGACCCGTATTGTTGCCTGTACCGTGGCGATCGACGCGAAGGCCCTGAAGGGCCGGGAGCTTGCCGCTGCCCATCTGAACCGTGGCCAGGCCTATCGCGCGGTCGGCGATCAGGCGCGGGCGGCCGCCGACTACAGTGCGGCCATCAAGCTGTTCGATGACGCCACGAACACCGCCTCGCTCAACGCCAGCCAGTTCCTGCAGCGCGGGATAGCGCATCATGCGCTTGACGACGTCGAGCGGGCGCTGTCGGACTATGACGAGGCGATCCGACTGGACACCGGCAACGCGCTGGCTCACGTCGATCGCGGCATTCTGATCGCGACCCGCAAGGCTGACATGCGCCGCGCCATCGCGGACTTCGATCGGGCCCTGGCGCTTGTGCCCGACAATGTCGACACGCTGATCCTGCGCGGCAACGCCTACACGTCGGTGGGCGAGCACGGCCGCGCGCTGGCAGATCTCGACCGTGCCGCCGAACTCGCCCCCGACAATCCTCGTGCCTTCATGGTGCGGGGCCTCGTCAACGCGCGGCTGGGTGACATGCAACGCGCGTTCACCGACTACAACATGGCCCTCTCCATCGATCCGAAGTACGTCGACGCGCTGGTCAATCGGGCTGCGATCTTTTCGAT